GTTGTGGCATGGGACCCTTGGTTGATCTTAATTTGACTAGTTCATCCGCCCCGACAGGGTCGGTTCCCGGGACCTCCACCAGCACAGCCGGATCGAGTGAAATGAGTCATTCGTTCATTTTGCCCCCATCTTCACTGGCGGTCTCAGTCGGTTCGGGTGCAACAAACGGCCCGGCAAACAGTACCAGCACACCGAAATCCCGTCCACATCCAGATTCATCATCTCATTCTACAACACTGTATGAGTCCGAATTGAGTACTGGCAGTTTGCCGACGGATGGTAAGTATGATGCTTGCGATATTTTTTGTCTGAAAAGCTGTCTTGTTTGTCGGTTATGATAGTCACTCTTCATCAAATGCACCATCATTGATTCTCTTTTAATTGTCAGTTCACTTGGTTTTCATATTCTGGCTGATTGTGGCCAGAGTGGTCGGTACATTAAATGGTAATAGGTGTTGCATAGGTTTGATGAACATAGAATTTCGATTCAGATTTTATGCGACAGTGGAACAGTTTCCTCCTACTTGGAAAATACATTTCTACTATGATCTTACTTTCTATGAGTACTCTAGAGATGCGAATGAGAAACCGTAAAGAATAATCGTCCTCGATCCGTCGTCTTTTTGAATCACAACCAATTTGACCTGTATCATCATCATCATCATTGTATAGTGAAATGATCTGATCGCTGTTAAACTCATAATACATTCAAGGTAAGTGAGAATGTTTAAGGACGGGGATTAGACCTATTTTTAGGGAGGGGACAAGAAAGCGAACCTCCATGGTCCACACACGGAGAACACAGTCCAGCTGTGCATTCATACTATCTCAAGCATTCTGGTCTGATAAGAAGTGACAGCGTGATCGCCACTGCTATCGGTTTGCTACCGTGAGCTTCAGTGCCTCTAACCATGCGGTTACACAGTCTTTTGGAACCAATCCCGGAAGACGAGAGACACCTAATCTACCTAATCACTCTGTGTATTTCTTCATACCTCGTCTCCACGTCATCTGCTGGCCTCCACGTGGATATCTGATACAAACAACGTTCGATGACTCTCGATGAGGAGATTGGTCATTCGCCCGTATGTGGATGCCACTGGGAGACTCATGCTGTTTTCTCAGCTAGACAACTTTCCTCGCTTTTCGTTGGACTAGGCAATAGATGTGGTCCACCCTCAAAAGAGTCGCATTCTTTGCCGTGATCCGGTTTCGTACCATTCCGTTGTTTGGTGCATTGCGGTAGACCGACCAACACATGTTTGCGAACCACGGCACGAGTATTCAGTCACGACCTAGGTAGTTGTCCCGAGACCCACGCCTGAATCGTCTAACAAGGGTCTAGACAGCAAAAGCTCATTCATGCACGCGACCGGTATGAAGTGCTATTAGACGATGTATTCATCACACTCTTCATCTTTTATTGGCGAACGTGTTTGAACGTGTTTACGCTTTATTGGAGCCCAACATGTCCAGTTGTTCACTCAGTTCTGATATATACCCATTACCTTTGTTTAGCATCCGTCCATTGTCATCTGTTTTTATTTGTCAGTCAAAAATAGTTATCGTCTTCTGTGTAGCCGAGTTTGGTATTCTTCATCTTTTTTAATGAACGATGATCTGAGACCGCACCCACGATAAATTTTTGATCCTGTGGAGTTAAACAGATCGCAAGCAAGGTATATTGATTTCGTTATATAGGCAGCCACATATTCTCCGGGGTGTTCACGTATGCTTGAACAGGGGTAGTTTTGATTCCAGATCACTTACAAACCTGGATAAAAAAATGCAGTTTTAATCACGCAAATGATCAGCCGTCCCTAAAAAACACCGTCGAACTGCTCAGTAAACAGGCAGCTTGCATTCGGAGCGGTGGGTGTACGTGTAGCTGCTATTCGCGAACTGGTTGACGTGGCATAAAAGATACCACTGTAAGACCACATCAGCAACGGGAGCATCATTTCGTGCAAGTTTAACAGCAAAATTGACGGAGAAAACTGGCCGTAATAACTTGTATTTTTTGAATGAACACATAAAGGTTAGCACGGCTACATCACGATCACTGAAGATAGCTCCCTGCCCATTTGGTGACAAAACATATACAGTTAGATTGTCCCGCTTAGAAAACGAGAGAAAGCTTTACTGTTCAACCCGAAGGTTGTGTACCACTGTGCATTATTCTGTTAGTGATATTTTCAGAGATAATTTCCCCATTGATATATCAACATTATTTACATTTTTAAACTTCCTGTTTTCCGGATGAGGTTCCGTGCAAGGCCATCAGTTTCTAAATTAGTCACACACACTAGCAGGCAATTCTCGATCATTAGTCCACCACCAGCAAGTAATCATTTATTCCTACTTTATGTCTATTCTAATGCGCGTAGTTCGATTGTTGTGTAGACGATTAGACTGTTTCATCTCCTCTCCCACTTTTCATTGCTCCTAGCTTATTTGCTGAAGCGGTCAGTAACCTGTAGGTGTTTGTAACCCCACCCACCTCAACAGTTCTACTTCCCGATTCCCGATATATTTTCAAAGCACATTTCTCATTTTATCCGCCTCACCATGCGCTCAGGAAGCCCCGAATCCGAATCTCCCACGTGCTGCAGTTCATCACTAATCCCACAGTACTACTCACAAGTACCTGAAAATTCAGGGCAAACTGGAAAGTGTAGTGCAATATTATCAATTTCTCCGTTTCGCCGAATTCACAAGCACTTACTGGCTTAGCCGTTCCAAGTACTGTTCTTTCCAGATTAAATAATTGATTCCTATTATCAATCAGTTTCGTTTGGTAAAAATGGGAACCCGTTTTTATTCTCTGGTTTCCTTTTTCTCAGCGATGAACCGAACTGAACTGATCGCTTGCGTTATTGGTCCTTAATTTGAAACAAACAGTTTGACATCGGGCTACTTTAGTAGTAACACTTGGTCTATATCTGTTACACCGTTTGTGTTCCCCAGTTCCGATTCAGCTAGCCGTATTCATTGCTTTTTCGCAGGTTTTATATTTTCTTCCGAATTTCCCATATACTCTGAATAGTATGCGTTCATAGATTTTTTACTAATCGATTTGTCAGAAGCGGACTGACTAGGTCCAATTGAGCTAAGTAGATAGGTAATCGTTGAATACCTAATCTCACCTACTTACTTAACCTCACGCTCTTACAGGGTAGTGGACCCTAGGTTGAGACATATCATTTACGTCATGGTACGGAATGTTTTGACCTACCTATCTTTTTTGAACACCGGCGAAGTGGTCAGTTGATCATTTATGAAGCTCAATTTTCTCGCTTCGAATTACGCTTCCTCTTTTGAGATCCTGCCGGTTAGAAAGCTCGCATACTGTTATTGAACCTGGTTCAGACTACTTCTTGTGGAACATTCACATCACTATTGGACAAGGACCACGGAGAGGTACAAGCTTTAGGATGTCGTCTTAGTAACTACTTCGTTATTGCACTTATAATTTTTATCACTATGATACAAGTCACAGTTACGATACACATTCGATCGTTTACTTCAACTTATATTGTTTGAAAAAGTGAACATAACTGGCTAGGTTTTCTCAACGTGGGACAGTAACCAAGTTGGCTCGTCTTCAACGATTTGGATGATTGTAGCAAGGTCCCAAACAGATTTGATCGACGGATGGTATCTGTCAAGAAGGTGATTGATTCCGGATTTTGTAAAACAGAACATTCGACCATTTGTACTGCGTGCGCTCTCTGACTCTACATCCAAAACTCTGAGCTCTGCACATTTGATCATCCACTCGAATAGTAGTCTGCAGTCCGATAATCAGCAGTTAAAATGTCTGCCATGATATGTTGGTGCTGTCCACGCGTGGGTTCGAATTCCACCATAGCTATTGATCTCTCCACAATTTGAACATCAGGAAATGTATGTCATACGCCTGTCAAAGAAACATTTGCTACGCATGTTCTTTTTGTCATTTACATTGTTGGGGTACGTGGGAGACGGGTTGGTTGCCGTGCTCGCTCATAACAGAAGTAAACCGTTATTGTGAATATTATAATGTTAATTACACAACGATGTCGGTAGAGAGTTGCATTTGCCGACGTTTCGGTTACCGGGGATAACCTTTCTCAAGGCAGGTTTGGCAATCATCGATTCTCCGATACACTCCTAACATCATTTGGTCCTGATGTATTAAAAAGTAAACTATTATTTGAATTAGATGGTCAAACTAGCATACGTAACTGAAAGGATCATGCTAAGAACTAGAACTGCTATCGCATTATACACGAAACCAATATCTGGCAGGCAATGCACATCTTGGTCTACTTCAAGCTGTACATTGTTTTAAAACCCATAAAAATAGTCTAACTAAATGTGATGGCATACACGCGCTTGGTAGTAATTCTGTCTACTGGTTCCAAGTCACTAAATGGCGAGTGACGGAATGAGATGGACGTCCGGTGATTCATCCTAGAACAGCTTTACACCACTGCAAATTTGGCCCGTAGAACCTATTTTACTTTGTGACTCAACTTATCGTAGTCCGTCTGGATGCGACCAAATGTCACACTGGTATTTGTCGACACTTAATCGTTTGCCATAATAGAAGTTGACACAGTTCATGTAACTTTTTTAGATGAAATTTTAACCAACGGTCATTTCCGTCCCCCTCCGCTAACCGCATGCGTCAACTCGTTTGGTTTACCTTTGCCCGATTGGTTAGTGGTTTAATGAATATTGTCATGGAGCCATGTTTTTCTACCCTAATAACTATCTAGTTGTTTTTACACGGTTCGGTCGAACCAAATTGCCCTGTTGATCAGCGTCGCTTTCCTTGATCAGCCTCCACTGTTTGCACTCGATGCCGCTTGCTTTGTCTTTCTCTGTCAGTGTCACTGTTCCATGGGGTTCATGACTTGCAACAGTTCCTTTTTTTGCCCACGGGTTTCGCGCTGAAATTTTGTTTTTTTATTTTAGCCTAGGGTTTACTACTGTAAACGTTCTGCCTCCTTAATGCTTCTCAGTAATTGAGCAAACATCATTATCATTAATACGACGTCTACTCGTTCTGCATACTTGGTGAATGGAGGCAAAATCAGAGAGTTCTATACATATTTTATTCATGTTGCTTTGTGAATCTTCCGCATATCGTATATTTATCGCATATGTCTCTTTTCCCTTGTTCTTCCCTCTGATGTGTTATACTCAACCACTAAAGCCAACCAGTCCGGTTCCTGTGCAAACGACCTGTCCGGATCAAATTTATCTTCCACCAATACTGGGCTCACTCCGACAGTTCGAACTGGCGGCCGTACATTGCGGGAGGCGATGAAACGGCATTACAAACGAGCCAAAGCGGCTATGGCTGATAACTCTTCCACTGGTGGGTAACCTTTTGCTGTGGTTCTCTTTCGTTCTGGCCGTTGTCTACCACGTCTTCTCTTCGTAAATGTGTCAAATACCTTCCACCGTGACTCGGTGCTAAGTATTGTTTGTCTGTTTTACATGGAACGGATATATTAGCCGCCCTGCCTAACCCAGGCGATAGTAATCCGTACAAATGCATTACAAGATGTTCACATGAGAGAAATCTCATTTAGTAAAAAAGAACACAATCATATTTGGTCAAACAGGTTTGAACAGTGTCATATGTGTGTACTGGATAACTATTTTATGATTCTCATCAACTTAGACTTCTGTAACACAGCTCTGGAGTTTGAACTAAATCACTTCTGTGACAAGGGTTCTCCTCATCAGAAGATATGCTGAAGCGGATATCTTGCGTTTATTATGCTATGTTCCAAAGGGCATGACTATTCAGGTTGAACAATCCGGTGCCGGAAACACTTATGTTGCCATGGCCCAGTGCATAAGTATGTAAGTTCAGTTCAGCTTTTACAATCATTAACCATGCACTTTCGTGCGCCGGTTATGGTTGCTGTCTTTTGGTGCCTCATTTGGATAAAAAAGCAGGATGAAGATTGGAATGTTGGAAGCAAATTCAAGCAGAAGATGGAGAATTCATATAGAATGGTGTTAGGGGAATAATGAGTGGATGCACGATCACAACTGTTTACGACATCCAGCCATATCACTCATTGTCTCTGATCATCGGTGATCATCGTCCCGAGGTCCCCAACCAGGGAGTCTAACGGGGCCTATGTGACCTGGTCTCCTGGTTAGGATTTTCATACCCTCATACCAGGTCTTCGTTTGACCACCCTTGACCCTTTTCCAACCGCTACCTTCCTCGGCAAACATCGTTCGGCGTAGCAACCTATTTTGTGACATGCGCAAAACGCCCCAAACAACGTAATCCATGGAGGTCGATCACTTGCTCCAGTGGAGGACCACAACTAAAACTACGCCTAACATCAACATTGTTAGTCCGGTTACCCCACCAGACTCCTACAATGCGTCGTAGAAAGCGGTGTTCGAACACTGACAAACTATTTTCATCCTGTTTCCCTAATGGTCAAGTCTCTGCACCGTAGAGCACTACTGACCGAACTGTTACAGCATATACTCGACCCTTCACAGACAACCGGATGTCGCGACGGTGACACGAATGTCTCAAGTTGGCAGATGCCAACGGAGCTTTTGTATACGCGCCGATACTTCATCTGTGATGCGTCCGCCAGGTGAGATATAGCTGCCCAGGTTGCACATATTGTCTACTTCTACTACTTCCCCAGTCAGGGTGAGACTGGGTGCTGGACCAACCCAATCTTGGAGCAACATTTTACACTTCGGAAGTGCAAAACGTCCACCGAATATGGCTACACTAGCACTCAAACTATCCAGTAAAGCTTGCAACTTACCTATTTGGAAAACCATCTTTCCCATCTGTCCGGTACTTCTTCTCAGTCCCAAATAATCCCAGGTGCTTCCTGTTTACGAGACCCATGGGATGTCAGATAGTATACGCACACAGTTAAGCAGTTTAGTGTGTTTGTGGGTGTTTACGTGCTCGTCTGTAGATTGATCTCACTCACACTCCACCCGTTGTGGTGGTGACACTAATCTGCACCGTTTGCACTGGCATATATGCATTGTCCGATAATGATTATCGGACATGCTTGATAATTCTTTGAACTTACCCAACAAGCAGTCCAACTCCAAACCTTACATATTTGTTTCACTCGCGGAACTTCCCCTATTGTCCCTGTGATTTGATGTATCAGGATGGTAGTGTCCTCACCACTTCAATTTCTTTTTCTGATCGGAGAGGCAAGTGGGTGTACGGTGTACTTCAACTTCACATCGTTTGTGTTCGAATCCCGTCATCAACACAACCACCCAACTTTCCCCACGTCATAATAACCTGTGACAGCCCTTTAAGTAGACGCCTCTCTCCTCCTTTGCGTGTTTGTTTGCCTATCTATCCAATATCAGGAAGTAGAAAGATGAAAAAGGGTTCAAAGTTGACGAATCTGTATACCTTTTCTCGGTAGACGAATTCCCGGCGAATCTTATGCACGATTATCGAAAACTCGGCTGACATTTGATAATTTGTGACACTTCTGGTCTGTTTCGCCCATCCCACAGTCTATGACATGTTAAGTGCATGCTGAATGATCTGTTTAATCCCAATGCAAGACCAGGGCGGTCGCAGTGTACGAGATAAATTATCTTTGTTCGAGTACCGCTTTATGCGCAACTTTTCAAGAAACTGGTATAGATTGCATCGAACACTCAACATGTCAACAAATCTTTTCCTCAAGTGCTCTCTCTTCATGGATTGTGGTGACTGGGATATTTAGTGAACACGTCAGCGGACGTGGCTTGTCCACATATGATGTTTACTCACACGGATGATGATTGGAGGATCGCCAGATACTGAATTAATATGAAAGTGTGAAGCCGTTGATCAAAAACTGTGGTCATACTGGATCATGAAGGGACGCAAACAGCCAATCATAACCCTCCAACAGATCTATATAAACCATGTCCCACTGGGGATTGGCGCTTCCCCGAAGTCGCACTGATGATGTTGCCTAGCTTGGCTACGAAACGTCTGCGAACAACATTTTCTGCTCGGAGAACTCACCAACACCAACATCATACTGGATCGTGTTAGGCTCGCGATGGGCAACTTCGAGACGAGCCTGATCGATGAACCTTTTAGGTGGATGTTGTAAATAGCGGTAGTTGTGCATCTGTGCACAGTTTGTATCTCTACACTGATGCTGCTCTCACCCTACCGTTCACTCTACCTCTTTTCTTCTTTGCCGAAACACAGTTTGGAAAATCTGGCCTATGAAAGTACAGGACTAATGTATGTGAAATTTTATCAGCTCCTCACACAAAACATAATGGTGCGAGATTCGCAGTTGTTTTCGTTCAATCGAGTTTAAAGTAATCCTCGATCGGAGTAGAACAAATACATTCTGTGGGGGGAGGAGTAAATGAGTGACGTTTGCTCTACTTGATCGACATTAGATTTTTCGTAACAGTCGGATACAGCTTGTGCGGTGGAGCGGTCGTATTACTTTCTAGTCGCTGACAGCCATCTAAGATAATTTCCGACTCAGGAACATCCTGGTAAACCTTGTGATAGTTCATATTACATACTCACTTTATTGAGAACTCCCTCACTGATTGATTTCCTTTGAAAGTTTGGAGAACTAAGAAGGGTGACAATTCGCCTATTTTCTATCTAGGGCGAGTTTTACAATTTATCTTTGTCTGTGTGTCTGGAATTTGTGAAATTAATTTGATGTTCACGTTCAATTTCTGTCTGGTTTCCACAAATACAGACACTACTGAACTGTTGAATTTGTGTTGGAAAAAGAGACACTGATGTCTATAGTCTGTATGTCCCCGTTTAGGACTCCAGTACTTATGTTTGGCATCCTCAAACTGTCCAATACGTGTCGCCACAGTCAGGCACTGATCGATAATGCGGGGAAATTGGCACGGGCGAGTAATCACGTGACGAGTTGCTAGTCTGGCCGGTGTGAATTTGTGCGCGCTGAGGGTGAGGCGAAAGCACACAAATAGGCGGGCATGCACGAAAAACATGGCACATCATCATCTCATCCCTGCCTGTCTCCCTCCGTCCGTTTTTTCGATGCACCTTATTTTTGATGCCGATTTGGATGATCCCATTCAATTACTGAATCCCATTGAAGTTCGGTTTTATTTGTACTGTGACCAACATGTTTAGGTTTCGGTTACCGTCCTACTGGATGGGGTTTGAACGAGTTGTTCTGTAAAAGCCAGCTAGTGCTTATATGAGATGGTTATTATATTCAACTATTTATTTGTACGCACCTTGGTATGAAGGAACATTTTTTTCTATGATTGTCTTTCTGACACTTTGTTCATCGTAGCTTCATATCACAACAAAGTTTTCCTGTCAATTTTGACTTATAATTCTTCAAACTTCATCCTTACATGTAGTCCTAAGTTCATCCATTGAATCAAACATTTAGGGGGCTGTATAGTCGAGTTTTCTTCCCGTTAAGGCTGATCAATGGTGCGTATCTTTAAACTTGTCCGGGGTTTGAACTCTAGACCTCTCTCATGGAAGATTTGTGTCTTACCGCCACACTTATCACACCGGTGCAGACCAGAATAATGCATTCAAGTTTGTGTGAAGATTATGTAGGGAAATGAAGTTTAAAATCGGCCAGGCGAAATCCATAACAGCTATATCATAGGAACACTCAAAATCGACCCTTGAATCGAGTGGGATTTTCTACTCATCCACATTCAGCATGAATAACAATGTGGTTGTAGCTTTGCGTTTCATATTCCAACAAAATTATCTTTTGCGAATCCCTCCAGGAACAAACAAACAGCCACCCTGGGAGCAAGGGTGAATGCATTTAGATACTGCTCTCGCTATACAAGTATTGATATATTCAACTATATGCATGCGCAGTCACATGTGTTGTCATCCGATTGGTGATGCATACGTTGCTGTCATCCTTCCTCTATGAACTGATGAGGTAACACCCATTACCCATGCACTGACATGCTAGATGAATGATTGGTAATCAACATGACTACTAGGGGCTCGCATTTTTATGAACACTGCCTATCGGACCCCGATATGAGTTGTTCCTCTAATCCAAACACATTGGTCCTGAGGATTTCTTGGGTTCATTGATCCAGTTCTCAGAGCTAAGCACTCTGCGTCTTTTTACGCTAAACAAATTTCAGTTTGGGATTCTGAAGTCATCGTATTTTCTTGCCAGAATGTCTTGTTGCCATGATGAGAATCGAATTTCCATCTGCTATTTACTCTATTTTTACAAAAGGTTTTCAACCTCTTCAGTTCTCTAAGCTAGGCGTTTGCTTACATTTCAGAGCCTCAAGAGAATCATGACTTCATCATTGTGACCGCGGATAACACTCAATGGCATTTTGAGGCACCCAGTACAGCGGTTAGAGACGAGTGGATTCAACAGATTGATGCGGTCATTCACCAGCGTCTTCGATCTGGTGTTTCCTTGATCCGAAACAGTACTGGAGCTCACATTTCATCCTCGGCGGACACGTCTACATCGGGTGTGAACGCTTCAGATCGTCTCACTCCGCAAACCGGTCGAAGTGGAGGTCGGCCCCTCAGTACCGGTGGAGGCCTGGCGGTAGACGGTCTTTTCAAACTCGGTGGAGGTGAAGATGTTTGTGGTCAGGAGGAGGTGCTTCAACGGTTGTCCGCATTGGCTGGCAATGACTGTTGCGCGGACTGTGGGGCGGCTAGTGAGTTTTTGTCATCCTTTTTGCATCTGGCTTTATCTTTTCTGTGTGACACGGAAAAATAAAATGAGCGGATTCATATAAACAGTCTTGAATCATTTTGTATACTTTTCCTAGTGCAAGTGTTGGTGCTAAGACCATATCAGTGGGATATTGCTCACTTACTTTACTGCGGCTAGATCCGTGGAAAGGATAAGCGGCCTCTATGATCATCATGAAGTTTCATTCTAGTTTCGTACGGAAGACGTTCCCAGAAATACTCGGTATTTCTTTTGTCGATGGCGCACCTCAAACCTTGCCACAATCAAGTGCGGACCGCAGTGCTGACACATGGTTACCGATGGTGCTGTATGAACTCATTTGTCATTTGGTAGATTTAGCTGCAACTTAGGGGTCCACGTGTCTCTGTTAGTTATACGGACTTCCTCCAAAGCCGTGGTATCAGGCAGTAGGTCTCATCCGTGCAATCAGAAGTAGCTGCCTTGGCGTGCTCTTCACTCTCTGGCTCAAGACTCAAGATCTCAGTTACCCTCTACCTCGTTTGTCCCGCCAGTCGAGCGGTTTGCCGGGGATTTGGCCTCTGGTGCATCTCTTGGCTTCGCAGGGTAACATGCGAGTGTTGATTAAATAATGGAAACCAAAGAGATGGAGGATGACTCCAAGATTACACAATAGTCAACCACCTCAGAGACGTTTATCTCATCCGATACCTCATACACGAAGAAAGAAAAAAAATGCCATTTGGAGATTATTGAAAGGTGTAGTACGATTTCTCACTGATGCCATACGAATCGCTGCATCAATACGCCTGCTGACTTCCCGCCTCGTTGTTGTAATTCAGGGGCAACTTTAAACGGCTGACATTTTCATGCTCTTTGTGTGATTTCTAGTATCAACATCTATTGGGTATTAGGCTATTTACCGCTTTTACTTGTTCGGATTGTTTCAACTGTAATTCGTGATTAATCCACGCTTGGTTTGATTTACCGGAAGTCAGTAGTTGAGACCTGTTGATGAGCGACGGTGACGTTCGCATTACGATTGGCACCAAATAGGTGTGAGCTTGTCTGTTCAGAGCCCTAACAAGTTGATGCTCTTTACCGAGAAGCACTCAGTTGTGGAATACCTTTTTACACGTCCCCTGTTTGTGCAAAACCCATACATTCAAACACGAAATCAACATGCTCGTTTCACTATGAATGTTCCTTATCAATATTCATTTTTGCATTATTGGATTTATCCTGTCGACTTTCAACCACCAGATGTATTTGCTTCCGGTTACCAAATGGTCAATGCACTGCGTACGATGAATAAATGAATGAATCGACTATCTGCAAACGATACCCATGTGTGCCGGAACTACGATTCATGCGTATCAGGATCTATGCTTGTTAAGTATTTATTGGTAAGGTAGAACACCGGCAGTTTCGTATCAATGGGTTGGGATTTCATTGATTGAAGGTAGTCTCTCCTTACTTTTTCTCTGTACTTGCCAGAATGATGAGCTTCATGACGTAGCCTGCGTGTAATACCGATTGCAATGAAAAAAAACGAATGGGCGTCATTCAGTGTGGATGTGGATTTCGACGGATACGAACCCAGAAGAGTGATACTAATAATAAGGCGACATAATGCGTGTCCCTTCAAACAATTGAATGACTATCACTAATGATCATTTGTCGTTGGTTTCGAGAAATGTTTGGTTCGATCAAAAATGAAATTAAAGAAAGAGATAGACCTGAAACTCTGGGTCCCCTTTATCCATCGTATTAAGACCGAAAGAAGACATATATCGCCAGCTGGTAACATTTTATTTAATCTTCTCAATTGCTGACGTGAAACAAACAAGCACAATAACATCTCGCGATATATGTCTTCTTTCGGTCTTGGTACGAGAGAGAAATGCTTCAGTCATTCCAAATTTTCCAATGCACTTTTGTCTAAATTAGACTTGTCGTAACTGGAAGCTTTGATAGATAATCTTTTATCTCTCATTCGAGGGAAGGAAGTTCTATGGTTTTTGTTACGCACATTTCATATGACGAACAGCAAACGAGGTAAATCCCATAATCACTTAGACCAGCTGTTCAGTGATGGAAACCTGCAACATAAGCCCTGGGTCTTAGTGTAGTGAACCACATGTGGCCCCACTAGGATAGCAAAGCTACTACCAAAGTATCTGGTGAGGTTCGAACCTTGGACCATGGGGCTAAAAGCTTGCTGGTGATAGCGATCAAACGAATAAACCACGATCACCCAAAAGTATTTCCGAGTGTCTTCAAATGTTGTTCGAATAACCCCACTTTACTTTGTGTGAGAATAGTAAGATTGTAACTGTTCAAGCTCACCATTTGCGAGTTAATTTCAGACACTAGAATGATCATTTCCAATAAAGATTATGCTTGGTTTGGGCCACGATTACCTAACTTCGTTCGTAAATGTGTATTCCTAAGGGGTTTAGCTTCCTGCTCGCCACATAATCACTCAAAGTATTTTTTGACACACGACCTTGTCCGACGCGCATTGTGGATCGTTCGCAGATTTTCGATTTATCCAACCCACGCAGGCGGATTCGACGACAACACATAGGCCATTCAGTAACCGGAAACAAACAGGCCACGTTACAGGACTTCTCATCACCCCCTCCCCTACCACACACGATTTGCATCAAGTTTCATATATTTCACCTTCCGCCCAAGATGTGCCCTCATTTCCATAAAGTGCAGATTTCAGTTTGCGTCACTGTGACACGGTACGTGCACTACATCACGAATCGTATCCTTAGCATCGTGTTTCGATTGCTTGATGGTGTATTCTTGATTGGTCGTTGAGTTATTCCACTTCATGAATTCATGCCTACAGCACCTTAGCGGCCTAACGGCTTCTGTAAAGGCTCGTTCCCTGATCACCCTTTCTCAATCACAACTCACATCTAAGTTGAAACCGTTTGACTCTAGACTCAGTTATGTAACTTGGCTCAATTACAGTGTGCTCATTATTATTTCCCTAGTGAAGCGCTTGATGTATATCTTCATTGTCAGATGAACCTGTTGATTCCGGCAACTTGTTGTGCACAAACACTATTCTTATGTTTTGCTCCATTTAATGATATGATAGGTATTTCGCTAAGTTTCCAGCTTCAGTGACCCAGCCAAATCCGGGCATAGTAATTTGTGATTGTACCCTCTCGTAGGTGTACTGAAGTAAACAAATAAGACACTTTAAATGACCTACCACACACGCACACACGGTTACAAGAGTCATCTGGTGTTTGCGCATGAAATATTAGAGGAATGAGAATGCTTGGGGCAATATCAAGCGAATGCATTCATGATAAAAACGATCAGTTTACCGAATTCCGGTGATGTGGCAGTGAGTAAAACTTGTACTTTAGTGTGATTCTGATACCGTAACTCGTTCTTTGCGGCAATCAGTCAATTACTGTTGATCATAGAGGGGAAGTGACTNAAGGCCTGAGCTTGTCAAAGCAGAACTACGCTAGTGTAAAAATAGTCCCGTCTTCAGTATTGAAATTGACGTAGGATTTAAAACTGTCGTTGGGATAATACCGAAAGAAATGACCCAAAGGGGTAAGCTGGTTTCTGGACTCCAGAAAGTAGAGCCGGGTTGCGTAAATCAGAGACAATTTTCGGTTTGTCACAGATTCAAGTGATAGTTAGAGAGGAAAAGGCTTTTCAGAGCACAATAGTGCTTTCATCGTGAACATCATTCAAAGTCCATATGTGCATGGTAGTTAGTGGACTAATCAGTTCACTTCAGGTTTTACAACGGTTAACCATGCACTTTCGTGCGCCGGTTTTGGCTGCCCATTTGGATGTAGCAGTGGGAGAAAGGCAGGAAAGTTGGAAGTACAGTCGAGGAGAAAATGAAGAATTTCAGTGGACCAAAGTTGCACAGAAATTGAGAAGATGCACGAGAGCCACTTTTTACGAAACTCAGCCATATCACTCAATGTCTCTAATCATTGATTATAGTGATCCCATCCAGGGAGCCTAACGCGAACTATATGACCGAGTCTCCTGGTTGGAGTTTTCATATCGTCGTACCGAGTCTTAACTTGAGAATCCTCGGCTTTTTTCCACCCATAGCTGCCTCGGCCAATACTGCACGCCGTAGCAACCTATTTGGTGACATGCGTAACACATGCCCAAACCAACGTAATCGATGGAGGTCGACGACTTGCTCCAGTGGGCCACCGCGGTTACCTAGTGAAGTAATCGCCGATACGGGAAACGAAACCGATTGTTAAATATAAACCCCTTCGAGTCCATAGTTCATCATCATTAGTTGCCAGTTTTTAGTTATCATTGTCCAAAGCTATTCACATGTTCATCTATAAGAGCGTCGTATCACTTGGATTATTGCGTGACAGCCTAGCTGATCACTAGAGAGTATGGAGTTGGGGATTCGATGGCGGTTCACTGAGCGATTTTTGAGTCACAGATCTACTCTGATTATTTTCTTCAACGTTTTCGGTCAGTCAGTCTTCTCTGCTCCATATCGGCTTGTTTCAGTGTCACACATCTCCAGTCGACCATTGGTCCCTTACATTTTGTGATGCAAATTGATGTTAGTCTTTCGTCATCTCTGTGTTTCAGATAAAAACCTAAATACAGCGCATTCTGTGCTAGATCATTTTTATCTTACCATTATAAATGCTTCCCAACAGTATCCTTGCGAGCCAACCTTCGTTTCTTAATCCCGGATTACACTCTCTGTACGTTCTTCTCTAACGGCTTCGTCGTTTGCCAATTCTGATCGCCTTTTGAGCTCCGATACACAAAAATTGCATCATTTCTTAATGCATAAGGGTTTACACACTTGGCATACAGCGCATTTTTTCTCTT